AGACCGGCTGTGCCAAAAGCAAGGCCTCACAGTATAAAAGAAGATAGCCAACTTATTGGTTATGAATCTCCTTTAGCAGTAACGTCCGTTACGCACAAGTGCCAGGAAGGCGAACCAAGCTGATCAGTGGGAACACCTTGGATAAATGGGCGATAGGGATAGCGCCTAGTCGAATTGCACTCAGAACTCTATTGTAAATACTTTATTACTCGCATGGAAGATACACTCTAAACTCTTCGCGGTTTCTACATGTGACACACACCTCTCGCCATGTTCTCTACTCTCCTCTTCTTTCTACGTCTCTCTACCTATCCGAGAGCTCGTCTCTCACCACGTGATCTGGTGGTCATGCGCAGATCTTTAGCTATTCTCTCGACCTATCGCATAACGCGAAAAAGGTGCGCAAGCGGCGGTTCAGGCATTAGCGCCCCCTGTGGTGTAGGTTTCTACTAATAAAATACGGGACGAATGGACACCGTTTCTTACAATATTTATATTAATTTGTTATAAACATACCTTTAAAAGAGAATACCACAGCAACAGTATACTGATAGGATGTAATCTTGACAATCACAAATGGAAATATTTATTCCCAGCAAAAAGATTTTCGAACGAGAGATCACAGCACAGATCACTTTTTAGTAAAAAGAGAGTTCCGAAAGTGTATGCAGTGTAGGTTAGGTCAAGTAAGTGTACTCGCAACGACGCACGAAAGATTAAAGATTAGATTTGACCCAATGTACCAAACACCGAGTTTTCTATCTCGTTACTGTATAATTTATTCGTCTAACCATGAGATAGAACTGCGCTGAGTAAAGTATAGTAGCCAATATAAAACGTTCACTAACGACAGTGACAGTGGTCTAGTAGGTAAGATGAGTGACTCAAAAACCAGAGGTCTTAGGTTCAAATCCAGCAGCGAAAGACGGAATTTTTCCAATCGAATGGAGGGAATATTAACACGTAAGTCAAGAAAAAATTCTAGAACCAAACTACATTGAATTCCACCTCTTCGAGAGAGAGAAAGAGAAAGACAGAAGGAGAAAATAAATCAAACCCTCTAATTAAAATAAAATATCTAGAAAAAATCTGTCTAGTCTGAGCTAGATAGCTACGAATTATTTTTTTTTCTTCTAGCTACTAGTTAATTTTTTTGTTACACCCACTAGGAGAAATGAGCGTTACATTCCTGGCTAATGATTAGTTAACATTTTCCATCTTATAACTGTATTATATTACTGTATTATTTTTGCCTAGCTATTAGCTAATTTTTCTAGTACAGCCATTAGGAGAAGTGAGCGTTACATTCTGAGCTAATGCCTAGCTAATACTACTAGATAGTAACGATGTAAAACCCAACTTTTCTATGTCATGACTAGACAATTACTAGATTCAATTTCTACTCGGGTACAGACTGTAATTTCTTCGCTTTAAATTACTTTTACAGAGAGCTTTTACGTATATTAATACATCTTATTGTTTTCTTTATATTACTTCAGGATTTCTTAAAAAATAACAAATAATGACGTGGCAGTCGCGAAGGCGCCCGTCACAATAAAAAGTGCTCCGATTTATCGTGTATCGGATTTCGGAAGAACGTTCGCGAATGTTATCGTTTCTTGCGTATCGGCGTATTCTTTCTTTTTGTGTAAGTTCTCAAAGAGAATTTAGAATATTTCGTGCGAGCGGAGCAGATTTGAAGGTCCTCGCAAACTTTGTACCCCTCAGCTTCCCCTGCCGGCCACCAGGATCAACGGAACTGAGGACGACATGGGACGGAGAAGCAGCGACCGCCCG